TGGTAAATAAAATGGTAAGCAGCAGGTTAGCATGTGTGCAGGAGGGTTTAAGTTCAAGGCAGACTATGAAAGAAGCAAAAAGGAAGGATAACTCAGGAGATATTATCAGAGATGTTGGAAATCATGAGGGTAAGAAAGCTAGCATAAAGGCACTTTACCTGAATGCTCGTAGCATTCGTAACAAGGTTGATGAGTTAACGGCACAAATCATCGCGAATGAATATGATTTGGTAGCCATTACGGAGACATTGTTACAGGATGGTCACGACTGGGAGTTAAATATCCAAGGGTACCAGACTATTCGGAAGGACAGACAGGAAGGTAAGGGAGGTGGTGTAGCTCTGATATTCAAGGACGCCATCAGGGCGGTGCTGAGAGATGATATAGGTTCTATGGAGAATGAGATTGAATCCATTTGGGTGGAAATTAGAAATTCGAAGAGGAAAAAGTCTCTGATAGGCGTAGTCTATAGGCCACCAAATAATAACATCACATTGGGGCGGGCAATAAACAAAGAAATAACTAATGCCTGTAAAAATGGTACGGCAATTATCATGGGGGATTTTAACCTACATGTAGATTGGTCGAACCAGCTCAGTCAGGGTAGCCTTGAGGAGGAGTTCATTGAGTGTATCCGTGATAGTTTTCTTGAACAGTATGTAATGGAACCAACGCGGGAACAAGTTATCCTAGACCTGGTCCTGTGTAATGAGACAGGAATAATTAATGACCTCATAGTTAGGGATCCTCTTGGAAGGAGTGATCACAGTATGGTTGAATTTAGAATACAGATGGAGAGTGTGAAGATAAAATCCAATACAAGGGTCCTGTGCTTGAACAAGGGGAACTACAATAGAATGAGGGAGGACTTGGCTAAAGTAAACTGGATACAAAGATTTTATGGTGGGACAGTTGACGAGCAGTGGAGGACTTTCAAAGCAATCTTTCAAAGTGCTCAGCAAAAGTATATTCCAATGAAAAGGAAGGACTGTAAGAAAAGGGGTAATCTGCCATGGGTGTCTAAAGAAATAAGGGAGGCTATCAAATTGAAAGAGAAGGCATACAAAGTGGTCAAAAACAGCATGAAACTAGAAGATTGGGAAAACTTTAAAGGTCAACAGAAAGCCACAAAAAGAGCTATAAGGAAAAGTAAGATAGAACATGAGAAAAAACTAGCACAGAATATAAAGACAGATAGGAAAAGTTTCTATAAATATATAAAACAAAAAAGAGTGGCTAAAGTAAACGTTGGCCCTTTAGAGCATGAGAAGGGGAATTTAGTTATGGGATATGATGAAATGGCCGAGGCGTTGAACATGTATTTTGTATCGGTCTTCACAGTGGAGGACACTAATAATATGCCAGTAATAGACAAAGAGACGAAGGTAGGTGAGGACCTGGAAACAATCATAATTACGGAAGAGGTAGTGTTGGGCAAGCTAATGGAGCTAAGGATTGATAAGTCTCCAGGCCCTGATGGAATGCATCCCAGGGTACTAAAAGAGATGGCGGGAGAAATAGCAGGTGCACTGGCGGTAATTTTCCAAAATTCGCTGGACTCTGGGGCAGTCCCAGCAGATTGGAAAACAGCAAATGTGACGCCACTGTTTAAAAAGGGAAGTAGACAAAAGATGGGGAATTATAGACTAGTTAGCTTAACCTCTGTAGTGGGGAAGATGCTTGAGTCTATTATCAAGGAAGAAATAGCAAGGCATCTTGATAGAAATTGTCCCGTTGGGCAGATGCAGCATGGGTTCATGAAGGGCAGGTCATGTTTGACAAATCTTTTGGAATTCTATGAAGACATTACGAGCGAGGTGGACAATGGGGACCCAGTGGATGTGGTGTACCTAGACTTCCAAAAGGCCTTTGACAAGGTGCCGCCAAGAGGCTACTGCATAAGATAAGGATGCATGGCGTTAAGGGTAAAGTATTAGCATGGATAGAGGATTGGTTGACTAACAGGAAGCAAAGAGTGGGGATAAATGAGTGCTATTCTAGCTGGCAGTCAGTGACTAGTGGTGTGCCTCAGGGATCGGTGTTGGGACCGCAATTATTTACAATTTATATAGATGACTTGGAGTTGGGGACCACGTCAAAGTTGCAGATGACACTAAGATGAGTGGCAAAGCAAAGTGTGCAGAGGACTGTGAAACTTTGCAGAGGAACATAGATACATTGAGTGAGTGGGCAAAGGTCTGGCAGATGGAATACAATGTAAATAAATGTGAAGTCATACATTTTGGTAGGAGTAATAGTAAAAAGGATTATTACTTGAATGGTAAAAAGTTGCAGCATGCTGCTATGCAGAGGGACCTGGGTGTCCTTGTGCATGAATCACAGAAGGTAGGTCTGCAGGTACAACAAGTAATTAGGAAGGCAAATGGAATTTTGTCCTTCATTGCTAAAGGGATTGAAATAAAAAGCAGAGAGGTTATGTTGCAGCTGTACAAGGTGCTGGTGAGGCGACACCTGGAGTACTGTGTGCAGTTTTGGTCTCCTTACTTGAGAAAGGATGTACTGGCACTGGAGGGGGTGCAAAGGAGGTTCACTAGGTTGATTCCAGAGTTGAGGGGGTTGGCTTATGAGGAGAGACTGAGTAGATTGGGATTATATTCATTGGAATTCAGAAGATTGAGGGGGGATCTTATAGAAACATATAAAATTATGAAGGGAATAGATAAGATAGAAGTAGAGAGGATGTTTCCTCTGGCAGGTGAAGCTAGGACAAGAGGGCATAGCCTCAAGATTAGAGGGAGCAGATTTAGGACTGAACTGAGAAGGAATTTCTTCACCCAGAGGGTTGTTAATCTATGGAATTCCTTGCCCAGTGAAGTAGTTGACGCTACTTCAGTAAACGCTTTTAAAAAAAAGGTAGATTTTTTTTGAACAATAAAGGAATTAAGGGATACGGTGAGAACGCGGGTAAGTGGATCTGAGTCCACGAAAGGATCAGCCATGATCTTATTGAATGGCGGAGCAGGCTCGAAGGGCCAGATGGCCTACTCCTGCTCCTAGTTCTTGTGTTCTTGTGTTCTTGTGATATCTGGTCAGCATGAACGAGTTGGACCGAAGGGTCTGTTTCCATGCTGTACATCTCAATGACTCTAAGTCATGTGAAACCAGTCAACTCCATCATCTCAACAGACACTCTTATTAACACAGAATTAATTCTGAGCTGTGAGGCAAGATTGCAATTGAAATCTCCCATGTCCAAGGATATTATCACATTCTAGTGATTATTTCAACAAATTTGCTTTTGTGAGCCAAATCAAAAATATGCTCGGGTAACAGATATTGAGACATTAACCACTATATTTAGTATGTTTCGTGTTCGTCAGCAAATTGTGTCTCACGACTGACTGGAATGCAAGCATGCATTGTTCTGAGATACGCAGGAAGTAGGGTATTTCATACATTCTCCCTTTACCTCACAGTCCTCTATCAAATGGTCTTGCAGGACACAATGTTTGTATGGTTCAAGTTCACAATCAGTAAACACAAATTTATGTGCCAAGATTTTCAGATAATCACATTTAATCGATTGGAGGAGGGGGAAACAGCATCAGGAACTCCAATGCTGGACCCAAGATTCCACCAAGTGGGAGAGACAGTTTGATGCAGGGATGATGTTTGGTGTAAGGATCATGGAAATGGCCCTGTGTGGGTAAAAGGCATGGTTGATGTGAGGTCAGGACCAGTGAGGTATAAAATTCAGGTAGGTGTGACAGTCCTGAATAGGCATCTAAACAAATGAAAGCCATGAATTTGCAAACAGTGCAGGAACAAAACATGCCCTGTCCCTCAAAACCTTTGGAAATGATACCAGAAATTGTGGATTCACCTTCTCCATCAAATATTGTTGAGTCCTCTGAATTCTAGATGGACATGACAGAAGTAGCTGCCTCAATGCCTTTGTTGCTGGAAGAAGAGTGAAATATTATTGAGCCGCTCCTGGTGCAAGAGGTGAGCTCTTGTGCATCACACAGAGACTGATTTGGAGGAACCTGACCCAATGCTGAAACACTCTAGGAGGCTGTCCAAGAAAACAGACCAGCCTATGTCCTTGGAGTCAGTGGAGATGGATGTAGTGATTGTAACGAAGTCAGCCAGATGGACTCATAGAATATGAGTTCCCTGATTGGGGCCGTTAATCGGCTCCAATCAGGGAGCCCTGGCTGAAATAAAAAGGGTGAGTGTCAGAGATACTGACACCTCTGTGCCTGACTCCAAATAAAGCAGCACTATAGTCAAGGACTTTTCATGTGTAAATAAAGGGTGACTTGGTGATAGGATACAGGTGTCTGTGGAATTATTTCACATCCCAAATATAACCATTCATTCTTAACTTCCCTTTTCTGTTATTTAACTAACTCTCAAGTCATTTCAACATACAACACCTAACCTCACGAATCTTTATACAAAAATAAAATACTGCAGAATCTGGAAATCTGAAAGACAACAGAAAATGCTGGAAATATTCATTGGAATGTAGGAGCAGGAGTAGACCATCCAGATCCTTGAGCCTGTTCCATCATTCATTGCGACCACGGCTGACCTGTGGCCTAACTCCATTTCCCTGCCTTAGGCCCATATCCCATCATACCTTTGCTTAACAAAAATGTTACTGTCTCAGATTTAAAACTAACAACTGATCCAGCATCCACTGTTGTTTGTGGAAGAAGCTCCAAACATTTACCACCCTTTGTGTGTAGAAGTGCTTCTTAGCATCTATCCTCAACAATCTGGCCCTAATTCTTAGACTATGGCCCCTAGTTCTAGAATTCTAGAAAAGAAAGACCCAATTTGTATAAACTCCCCTCAGAACTTAAGCCCTGAAGTCCAGGTATTGTTCTTGTAAACTTGTATTGTACTCCCTCCAAGGCCAATCTATCCTTCCTAAGGTGTGGTGCCCAGGTCTGCTCACAGGGCTCCAGGTGGGGTCTATCCAGGTATTTTGTGTAAATGCAGCAAAACTTCTGCATCCTTGTACTCCAGTCCTCTGGATATAAAGGCCATTAACTTTCTACTTAAGAGGGTAGATAACTTGCAGATAGAGATAATATTTCAGGTCAATGACCTTTCATCAGTCCATAGCCTATGTAGCAAGTTTTCAAGAACACTATCAGGGGTCTGTTGAAAACACGAATACGTATTTGTCATTGGGGCGTCATGGATTCACCTTCCTTGACCTGGCATGGGATTTGAACCTGAAGCTTTTAGGTAAGAGGCAGGTTGCTATACAAATCAGTACCACTAGACCTTCCCAGTGTTTCTTTTAACCAAAAGAACTGTGGATACTGTAAATCAGGAACAAAAACAAAGTTGCTGGAAAAGCTCAGCAGGTCTGGCAGCGTCTGTGAAGGAAAAAATAGAGTTAACTAGTTCTGAGGAAGGGTCACCGGACCCGAAACGTTAATTCTATTTTCGCCTTCACAGATGCTGCCAGACCTGCTAAGCTTTTCCAGCAACTTTGTTTTTGTTTCTTTTAACCATTTTCTTAATAATAGATTTCAGTATTTTCATAAAGATTGATGTCTTTACTTGCATAACAGTGTCGTATTTACTCATTTCCAATCCACTAGGAACAATTTTGAACCGAGGGAACTACACAGCTGGTGCAGCCCCACTTCTGTTGGAACCCTAGGCTGTAAATTCTCAGATCGATCCTGGGGTTTATCTGCTTTCTGGTCTATTCATTTCTCCAGCATATTTTCTTCACAAATACTAATTAACTTTAAGCTGTGCACTTTCATTCCAGGATAACAAGGTGTAGAGCTGGATGAACACAGCAGGCCAAGCAGCATCAGAGGAGCAGGAAAGCTGACGTTTTGGGCCTAGACCCTTCTTCAGAAAATTCCATTTGACTCCCCAGCTAGCTGTGTGATATTTTTAGTGGAATTAACTGTGAAGACAGACAATTGTTAAATGTCTCCGCCATTTCCTTATTGCAGATTGGAATTTCTCCTATCTCCGTTTCTCATGGAAACACAATTACCTTTGCTGCTCATTTTCAATTTTATTTGTTAAAGAGCTTACAGTCAGTTTCTTTAATGTTCCCTGCTCACTCCCTTTCATATTCTACTTTGTCATTTTTTTATGAATTAAAAGAAACTTATAAAAAAAACTGTGAGACATTTCATGTAAAGGTCCCAGGGATAGAAAGATTTTGTCTGGAATCCTGGGTCAATAAAGAGAAACTGTACCTCCCGAAATGATGCAATCAGCCAGCTGTTAGTGTAAAATAATCCCCGAATTTACTTCCTTTTTTTCAAAAATGCCGAGTTGGAGTGAGTCAGCAGAAACCTCTTGTCACGTAGCAGTGAGGTTTAACAGGAATAGCAGAGAGACCTCTCAGTTTCTGAGTGATTCACTGCTCATTAATGTGTGGTTTCTGAGTGAGATTTTGATTTACTCACAAAATTTAGCATACGTTGTCAGAAATAGAGAGATTTTATATGAAAAATATATCTCTGAAGGTAGTTAATAGCTAAGTAACTTTATCAAGTGTGAATTTCCTGATAGTTCTGGGTAACAGCTGCATTTTACACCCAGTCGGGTCACAAGCTATGAACCTTATGGATTTCTGCAGCCGTCTATTTGGGTAAAGCAAGACACCACAATCAGGAGCAAATGATCAGTGAATCTGATCATGTGAGATTGGATGAGGAACTAATATTAATCAGGAAAATTGGGAAGAACTCCTCTGCTCTTCTGGAAATATTTGTATGGGATCTTCTACATTGACCCAGGAGAGCAGACAAGGCCTCAGTTCCTCTTCTGAAAAATGGCAACTTTCCCAGAGCAGCACTCCCTCTGCACTGCCCCCTTCCTAGAACAACACTCCCTCTGCACTGTTCCCTTCCCAGAATAGCACACCCTCTGTACTGCCCCCTTCCCACTGTCTAGAGCAGCACTCCCTCTGTACTGCCCACTGCCCAGTCTCCAGAGCAGCACTCCCTCTGTACTGCACCCTGCCCACTCTCCAGAGCAGCACTCCCTCTGTACTGCCCCCTTCCCAGGGCAGCACTCCCTCTGTACTGCCCCCTTCCCAG